GAAAAATGGTGCAAGGTCTGAGAGACAATATCTCAGGAGAGATTGGAGGAACTGAACATGTACAGCCTGGAGAACAGAACGGAAAGGGGAGACATGACTGAAATGTTTAAATATATTAAGGGTGTGAATAAGATTCTGGAAGGCAGCATTTACAATATTAAGCAAAAACCAAGAATGCAAAGGCATGGTCTTAAACTGACAGGAGGAAAGTTCAAAAGTAATGTTAGAAAGGATTACTCCACAGAAATAGTAGTGGAAGCTTGGAACCAACTAACAGCATGGGCCAATCGTCAGTAAAGAGTTTAAACATGCTTAGGATAAATATGTCCATCACCTGACAAAATAATTAAAAAACAAATACACTGAAACAAAAATAACAAACAACTCAAAGGGGCAGACTCAATGGACCACTCGGTCTTTTTCTGCAGTTTCTATGTTTCTATCTGCCAGCCTTGCCGATACCCAAGACTAGAGCAGTTGATAGTACAAACTGCTAAGATTTTATTGGCAAACTCCAATAGAATTTGAAGCTAGTAAGTTTAGCACTTTGAACAGGCCTCAAGAGTAAAATAAAGTTCTAAATTAGGAAGATGTGTAAAAAATACCACAAAATCCAAATCCAGTATTTTGGAGGGAAGTAACCATTTTAATGATGAAGCAAATATTAAAAACACTCACAAAAGCAATGAAGTACTTGATGGAGGCAAGTTGACTGATTTTCCTCCATACCATAAAGCAGCTTCTTCAGCCGAATCAACCAAACTACCATCACCCTGAAAAAAGTATGGTTTGGTATATTTCTCAAATGAGGAACAGCCTTTAGGAAAATTAATGGATTAAGAGCAAAAAAAAAAAAATCATGAGGGGAATAAGCACACAGTATAATCTTTTAGCATACAATGAATCGAAACCTCTTAGTGACTGCTTCAGGAAAAATATATATATATAACAACTCCAGAAGTGAAAACAACTAATATATTCTTCCTGATGTGGAGTAAAAAAATAAAGCCACCTTCTGCAACCTGAAATCCTCAGGATATGTTGAAATTACATCACATACATCCAGCCCACTTTGCTGTTGTCTAACACATATGGAAAAGCTCAGACCAAGGAAAGCGGAAACATAGCATAGGAAGAATACTGAGTATTTATAAATGTGCGATAGCAAAATCAGAAAATATTTCAGAGATTATATATCCAGATTGAGTTTATAGCTTGTTTTTCAACCATTTACTACCTGACCCCTGTGAAACTTTTCGGAACATTTTTTTCTACGGTGGTTACGGTAATCTATCATGAGAATGTCCCGACGGACCAAGTGATAAGAATCCTCGTATGGAGAGGGCCTTCAGAGCGAAAACAAAAAGGTGACTTGGATAAGTGGATGCCAATAGTAGCAGTCCGATCGCCACAAGCTCCTCTCCTATGCATGCCTAAGAAGCAAACCTATTTTACAGATAGCAAAGCAGCCCTCACACAATGTTAAGAGGTCGCCATTTCCAACATTTAACTCAACGGTCAAAAGGACACTGCCCATCTGATCACAAGAAAAATCAAATTTGGATGTACTGGGGGGGAAAGGGAGATTCAGAGACTGCAGGTAAGAAGTTAAAAGAAGCATCCTCTATATTCCATGGCTAATAGGAGCAGGAGATCTTCTTATTCCACAGCAACAACATCCTTTCCAATCCAGAGCTGCCTAATCCTGGAGAATGAGGAGGACTCCCATGCTATCACCATATATATATATCCAAGTGCATTCCTTCATACTTTTTCTTAACTGCCTTAAAGAAGAGGAATCCACAAAAATAATCTTTGCATCTGAATTTTCTTTTTATATATATATATATATACTCGGGAGACTGCCTAACGAGGGCTAAGAACTACCTTTGCCTGGCTTCTTGGCATTTTTAACAGTCACTGTGTCAGACCCCTGAACTTGGCAAGAAGTATTACACTTCTTGCAGTGATACAACTGGGCCCCAGTATGCTTCAGCAACCCCTTGTAAGACAGCCACGAGCCACAGATATGGCAGCGGCGACTCCTTGTCCGGCTATGATTTTGAAGGTGTTCCAACAGTAAGCCCTCATGGACAAAAGTTCGGTCGCACTGAGCACACCGGAAAGGCCAGTCTTCTGAGTGCATTCGCTTGTGTTCGGCCAAAGCTGCTGGATCGGTAAAGTAAACGCTGCACTCGACACACCGGCAAACCTGGCCTGGCGCGTGAGAGAGCTGGTGCTGGTCAAAGGCTGCTGTATCCAAAAATGTCCGGTTGCACGCGGAACAGTGCAGTGGCCAGTCCACTGCGTGGACACGCTCGTGCACCGTCAGCGCCTTTTGGCTCGAAAAACACAAATTACATTCGGTACAATGGAACTGTGTCCCGGGTACGTGGATTAGCAAGTGTTGGGACAGCTGCCCCTCAAAAGCAAAGCTCCGGTTGCATTCGGTGCACTGGAATTTCCGCTTGCGGCTATACTGGTGGTCGGTCAAGGTCTCCTGGTGCGCGGCGTTCTTCGTGCATCTGCCACACTGAACAAGGCATCCTTTCACATAGGCTTCTTTCTGCTCGGGGTCATCTGTGGCATCGTGCAGAAGAGCATTCCGACAGGCCATCAAGGATGTTGGCGTCTTCTGTCCCTCTTCCTCTTCAACAGACTGTAGTAGCACGGGGTGCCCAGCTAAGGCAAAAAGGAACCACTCTTTTAAGGGGAAGAAAAAAAAAAGCCCTATCCACAGTTCAAAAGATTTCAGTTTAGAAACCAAAGTCTGAAAAGGAGATGTTCTACAATTCACTCTTAGCTGAAGGACAAAAAAAAAACAGGCTAAAAACCACTGGCAATGAAAGCGTCTATGAATGCTTTACAGGTACTCCTTGGGCCATGACAACAATTGAGACTGGAATTCTCATCACTGAGTGATAAATTGTGACATCATTTGACCAAATCACTTAATAACAGCAGTCCTGATTGCCATTGTAACTTTAGGACCGCACAGTGAAGTCGGAAGAGGTGGGAGTCGCAAACAAGGACAGTTGGGGACAGCATGGGTGCCACAGATGGCCGTTTGGGAGCATGAATGAATTGGTGGGGACTGCAGGCAGATTAAGTTGGCAGAAGGGTGCTGCAGATGGGCACATGCTGTGGAATGCGACGGAATACAAAAGATCCCTGAGATCTCCGTAATGGGGCCCCTCAGGAGAAATGTGGCAGGCGTGACTTAAAAGTACAACTTGTGACCTTCCTGACCAGCTTTGTGGTCTTCCAAATGGAGATTGTGTCACCACAAGAGGCTGCAACGGCTAAAATTTCAAGTACCACTTGTTCAGTGCCTCGTAACTTCAAACAGTCGCTCAACAAGGGGTCGTAACCCAAGGACTACCTGTATTTGTGGGCTGAATAACATT